GTGGGATCCCGTGTCCGGGGGGGGTGCATTGCTCAGTGGGGGGAGAGGGGCTACCCCTCTGGGCTGCATCTCCAGTCCCTGGGCTCCTCTCCTGTGGGCCAGAAGGGGGGCAGCTGCAGAGTCTGGCCTGCTGGCTCTGCAGCGCCTAGGCAGCTGGGTGGGGGGTTGGCAGTGGTCACACCCTCTGCCTGCTCCCATTCCTGGATCCCAGCCTTTTCTCTTCGCTCTCTTGCAGGTTTGCTGTTGCCACTATGGCCCAACGGGCCTTCCCGAATCCTTACGCCGACTATGACAAGTCCCTGGCCACAGCTTACTTTGACTCTTCAGGGCGGGTGAGTTGGGGCTCTCAGTGACTTCAGTGTACAGGGCTGGGGTGTTTTCTTTCTTACCAGGGGGCACTGGCGTGGGGGAGGTTAATTATTCCCTCCCATGTTGCTCTGGCATGGCAGCTGTGCCCCAGCTATCCGCAGAAAGGCAGGGATCGCTCTTCGGCAATGCCGCAGGACAGGGCTTGCGCCTTCCACGTCAATAAGCCCCTTGGACGTTTTTTAAAAGTGCTTTTAATGCACTTCCTTGGCCTTCTCGTAGGCGTACCTAGGCGTCTGGGTCCGGTATCTGCCTTTGTCCTCTGGGGCAGGTCTCTCAGTATGAGCTGCCTCTGTTTCATAAAATCATGAGCTGAGTTGAATTTTTTGTAGCGGGGGAGGCAAAAGGCTGATGGTTTTGATGCAGGAGAAAAGGCTCAGCCCATGCACCCAGGCAAGGGTGCTGTGTGATCCACATCACTGGCTCCTGTGAGGGGCCTTACAGGGGTGTGTTGACAGTTTCCAGAAGAGCGTGGGAATGGGGCAAGAACCAATCTCCAACGCCACGCTCTTTGAGATTGTAGATAGGATTCTGACTTCACTTGCGTAATAAACACCCTGAGAGTAGGAGCAAATAAGCAACAAAGCTTTTCCTTTCTGACTGCCGCTTGCTGTAGGTTTGTTGGACAAGAAATCACAACATACAGACACAAATCAGAGACACACTTGTAAAGCCTCCGTAGTTCTGGGTAAAAACAGTGACAGTATAGCCAGTGTGGCTACATCTACCTGTTGATACAGATATTGGGTTAGAAGCAGCGTTGCATTTTATTGGAATATCTGGAAAGGAAAGTTGAATGGCTCGTACAGCTGTTCAGGTATAGGTGTGGTCTGAGAATGTGTCTGGGAGCCAGTATTCTAGTCGCTGACTCTCTACATGGCCCTGGGCAAGTCACTTAATCTCTCCGCTTCAATTTCTCTATCAGTAAATGAAAACTTGCTACACAGAAAGCATCAGTAATTAATGTCTGTAACACTCTTCAAAGATGAAATGTGCTGCGTAAGTGCTAAGTGTTGTGAAAACAGCAAAGCATTCAAGCACCACAGGGCATTTGCTTTGGCAGCCTCACCTCCACCCTGCTTAGTCTGGCTCTGTTTTTTCAGCAGTGCCTCTCCGAGCCAGGAAGAGCTGTCTGGACATGTACGTACTACAGATGCTTTCTGCCTCACTTTGGCAGAGCAGATTTGCAGTCTCCCCTTTGTGAGAGATGCGCAAACACAGCACTCTTCAAGTGCAACCAAGCTGCTGTCTCATCCCTGCCGGGAAGCCGCTTGCAAGCGTGCCTTTCTGGATTTGGAAAACCTGAGAGACCATTGAGTGGCTAGTGTTTACCGCGATTGGTTGCTACCTGCAGTTTTGATTCCACAGTGTTTCGCTGAAATTTGCTTCCCGGGTCAGACCCTGACAAGTCAGTTCTGAGTCACTGCACTTTTATCCACTCAGCAATTTTAGACGCATATTATCTATCTCATATATAGACTAGGGGGCTGCGCTCCTTGCTCGCCACGCCTACCAGCCCCCCGTCACAGGGGTTAGCTCTCCCCCAAGCCACTGGGGAGGGCCAGGCTGCAGCTATGCCAGACGCAGTCCCTTTTCCTTCCCACCTTCTGCCTCCCCCAGCCAAGTACTTTCTCTCCCTTCCCACCCACTACCGCAAGGGTCCTGCACCTGGGGCAAGGGAACAGCTGTTTTTCAAACACTGGCAGCCACCCGCCATGAGGTAGACCTCGCGCGCCATAGGCTGTCAACCCCGTTATGGGGCACGCAGCAGGGAGGAGAGATAGGGGAGGCCATGGGGCTTAGGGGAGAGCGACATGATGACATCACTCTGTTGTCCTGCAAGAAGAACTTTTTTATAGGTATAGTAGGATATACAATGAAAAGTCTTTTGTCGGACATTTAAGCGAGCAGGGCTCTTGCATCTAGTGCCGATGCCTTAGACCAATGTTTCTAAACTTTTTTTTTATAAAGTACCCCTTAAAAAAATAAATACCCCCAGTACCTATAGATTTCAGAGACACCATTTGTTTTCTACCATTGCATACATTTGTTTAAACAGCTTACTCCTAGCCAGGCGGGCGATGAAATATTTAGGTGTAAAAAGTACACAAATAATAAAGCGCTGTAAAACTTAAAACACACATTCAGTTTTCTCCAAACGTCAGTTGTGTCGACGTACCCCCCAGACTTCTCTCGAGTGCTGGAGGGTACTTGTACCACTGGTTGGGAAACACTGCCCTAGACAGTAAACAACAATCACAATTTTTGGCACAACGCCCTTTTTGCACCAGGTTTTGGAAAACTGATTCAAACAAGCAGAACTAGTTCAAAATCTTTCTGCTTGGGGGACTGGCCCCAAGAGATGTGTGCCCTCTTTAAGGTATTAACCTCAAGACCACAGCCTGGATTGCAGCTTCCGAGTTACTTAAATGGCAGGCTACACAAAAAATGAAGGGACGGTGACCTGATTAGATTTGTAAAGTGATGAGCTGGGATCTACCTAAGCTGCAGCTGGTTTTTTCTAGCTGACGCAACTTTGTACCATGTGAATGCTTGTGGAACGCTGTTTAATAATACTGGTCCACGTCATATCATCACTTCTATTACTTAGGTACCAAACAGAAAAATACTCCTTCCTTCAAAGCATTGGTTCCCTCCCCCACTCTCTCTGAAAAGGGGGGTGGGTGGGTGTGTATGTGTGTGTGTCCGTCCCCCACCACGGTCTCTCACCTTCTGTTGACCCTCCCCAACCCTGCACCTGCTGCTACACCTCCATCTCCTGACCCAGGTCACTATTCAAACCCTCTGCACCCCCCACTCCAGCTCACAACTCCCTCCCAGACCCTGCACCCCCAATTCCCCGCCCCAGGTCACAACCCAGATCCTCTGCACCCTGCTCCTCCCTGCCCCAGGTCACAGCCCCCTCCTTCATCCAAGCCCCCCTCACACCTTCCCTTGCATTCCAGACTCCTGCCCCAAGCTTCCTTCTGCACCCAACTTCCATCCCAGACCCTCCATAGAACAAGTGCAGCCCTTGTTGACCGCTTGCCAAAATCTTGGCATGCCCCCCCCCCCCATCAAAAATTATTGCCCACTCCTGACTTAGACGATCTTGCGCTCTAGACCTGTAAAGGAGTAGTGTTCCCAACAGTGCTGTGAATGGCCTGCAATCAGAGCAGTAGGTTTGGAACCAAGCACTACGAATTAATTCCATTTTTTCCAGCCTATTACTTGGTTTCATTACCTTTTTTTTTTTTCCAGGACAAAGCAATTAAAATACGCCGATAGGGGAATGAACAAAATGTTACAGTTCACTGTACCAAAATCCAGCAGCTTGGAAAACCACAGCAAATACCCCTTGATGGAGGCTTGGTTTTGAAAACATAAAAAGTTTTTAGGGAGCATGTTTAGCCCTGTGGGAGACAGGGTGTGGAAAAGGGGAGGATTTCTATTGAGGGGATTGCATCTTATTCGTAACAGCTAGGGCAGTACTGAAGAATGTAAAGAGCCACCGAGATGTTGGGGTTCAGAAGGATGCCACTAAAATGACCCTTTTAAAATTGAGGATGGTCAAAATGTGGCCTCTTTTGGACCAACACTTTTCGAGGTAGGTACCCAATTTCATGGAGAAACTGAGGCACGGAGAGGCCATGATTTTCCCAGAGCCAGGAGCAGAGTCCAGGTCGCCTGAGTCCCAGACTAGCATGCTATGCTCTGGTCCACGTTTAGGCCCCCCTGAAAGCCAGATCTCGTTCTTTGTGATTGGGGATAAACGTTTTATACCCGTGAATTGTGGGGACTGCTGCAGGGAGTCCACAGAGGCTGGACTGTCCACAGGCATTATCCACAGCTGCCAACAGTTCCTCAATGAAAAGTTGGTCCTTGTCTTAAACTGGAAGAAGTGCAGGGCCTGACGTGTTAAGATCTTGCCTTGCACTGGTGGACATCAGGTGGAATGTTTTTGCCACCGATGGAAATATTATACTGGAAAACCCATGCCCGGGTGGGTGATTTGTTATTGTTAAGCTGCCCCACACTGAGCTCTTTGTTTTAGATTAAAGCTGTCTCTCCCTCACAAATATGGGGATTAAATCACAGCACCACCCCGGTGCAGCAGAGAGACTAGCCCGGGGCTTCCGAGCCGGCAGCTGGTGAAAAGCCAGCCCAAAGAGTTGCGTCTGCACCATGCCCTGGATGGGCACAGGCTGGGATAAAGTCGGGTTTCTTTTTGGAGCAGGGATGCTGCTGCTCTCAGCTTCCTTGAGTTTTCCCGGTGGGCCCAGACACCTGTGGCTTTGCACTCCGGTGGCAAGTCAGAGCTGCGAGGAAAGGTTGTCCTGCCGCTAACAGGCAGAGGTTCCAGGACCTCTTACTGCAGCCAGCCAATTATTTTTTTAAGAGCATTTCTGGCTGTGCTCGCTGATTGAGAATTCCAAGTCCCCGGTATAATCCATGCTCTCCCTCCCGTTGCTGTGCCCCCGGCCAATCTGTTTACGGATACTGACTTACTGCGGTATTTCTTTGCTATTCACAGCTGACGCAACTAACCAGTGGACTAGGAAAGAGCAAGTGTTGTCTTTTGGGGCTAGACTCATCCCACCGCTGCCTCCATCAGTAAAGAAAAAGCAACACTGCATTAGGGCCTAGGTGGCTTGGCTTTTGGGTGACCCGTGGGGGGGAGGGCAACGTCAGGATTCCTCTCTGTCCTGGCGCTGCAGACCCCGCTGTGCCCCAGAAGTGGCCAGCACCAGTGGACTAGGAAAGAGCAAGTGTTGTCTTTTGGGGCTAGACTCATCCCACCGCTGCCTCCATCAGTAAAGAAAAAGCAACACTGCATTAGGGCCTAGGTGGCTTGGCTTTTGGGTGACCCGTGGGGGGGAGGGCAACGTCAGGATTCCTCTCTGTCCTGGCGCTGCAGACCCCGCTGTGCCCCAGAAGTGGCCAGCAGCAGGTCCAGCTTCTAAGCAGGGCTGGATGGGGTTCCCAGCCCAGCCTCCACCCTGGGCATCGGTTCTGGGGGCCGGGGCCTATGGGTGAACACCACGCGCAGAGCCACCTGTGTGCACCTCAGCCTAGAAACCAGGCCAGCTAATGGTCCCTCCGGGGCTCAGCGCCGTCCGCGGTGCCGGGACAGGCCGGAAGTTACCTCAGCACCCCTGCTGCAGTAACTGGGAGCTGGCAGAGGAAAGCCCAGACCCCAACCCCTCCTGCCCCAGCCCTGAGCCCCCCTCCTACACTGCAAACACCTCGTCTCCCTCCCACCCCCGAGCCTGCACCCCCAGACGGCGCTTGCACCTCCCCTGAAACCCACCCTCAGCCCTGCCAAGAGCTTCCTGAGCAACTCTGCCCTGCCCTCCAGCCTGGAACCCCCTGTAATACGCCAGCCCCTCATCCTACCCCACCTCAGAGCCTGCAGATCCAGATGGAGCCCTCTCCTCACCCCCATGCACCAACCCCACCCCATAGCCCTCACTCTGGTCAAAAGAGACCGTTATGTTGGGTCGCAGGCATCAACGATTTTCTTCAACTGGGTCGCGAGGAAAAAGGTTTGAACACCGCAGCCGTTGGTGAAGGGTGACTGGTTCGGTTATGGAAGGTGTCTAAGCACTGAAATCGGCGACTGTTGGTTTCCCCGTGAATGTTCCAGGGGGGCTTATTTTTTACCCTTATTTCTATGATGTAGCACGATCCCCAGGTGCTTCCTGCTTTTGCTCCGGGCTGTCTGCTAATGCCAACGGCCTGATCCAAAACTGGTTCTGCCTCAGTGTCTGTGAGAAGGAGAGGGAGAGGAAACCCAAAGCAGCCTGTAAGTCAGGGGAAACCCGGCCTGTGAACTGATTTCTCTCTTGGTAGCTTCCAAAATAACTCGAAGTCAGATCTAGAAAGTAGCCAGAGTCGCCCTGACACGCACCAGGCGCTGCTTCCGGTAACTCGTCCCCCCATCCCAACAGGAAGTCACACTCTAAGGTTTTGTCTGCACCGGGAGGGTGAGAGTCCCACCTCACGTAGTTCTGCTTGTGCTAGCGGTTGTAGAGTCAGCGCGCTACACGTGGTAATGTGCCTGCCGAAGCATGGGCCGCAGGAGCAGCAGTTGTGCCTAGGGCAGGGGTGGGGAGCCTTTTTTGGGTCGGGGGCTGCTGACCCACAGAAAAATCAATTGGGGAGGGGGCCACACCACAAACCGTCACTGACGTGGCGCCCGACTGAGAAGGAGAGACACTCCCCACATTCCCCTCGCATGCCAGTGGGGTCCAGGCTAGTACATTTTGTGTGCTCCACCCCCACGGGGAGGTGGCTGGAGCACCAGTGTCGGCTTCCCAGTGCTAGATGGGGGAGCTCTGAGCCTTGGGGGGTCGGATCGAGGCAAGCTGTAAGGTTGGAGGATAAAGCGACATTAGCAAGCCTACACTACTATGCCAAGTCTACGCTAGACCCGGCAACTCAGCTTAAAGTTCGCAACTCCAGCGACGTAGAATAAGTAGCTGGGGTCGGCTTCCCTTAAGACAATCTAGGCGGCATCCTCAAAGTGGAGGATGATGGGAGAAAATGCTCCCATCTGCTTCCCTTACTCCTCGCCAAAGCAGGAGTACTGGCGAGGGCGCCCTCTGAGTTGGATTTAGCAAGTCTTAACTAGACTCGCTAAATCAAACTCTGAAAGATGGATTAGGGCACTGTTGCTCTTCTGCAGAGTGAAGACAAGGCCTTACAGTGTTCGGCAGGAAGAGCTCAACTCCCATAAAGAAGCAGGCTTGTGCCTCCATGGCATGGCCTTAAGGAGCATCCTACAATAGGGACTCTCCATCCCTAGAGGCTTTTAAGTCCCAGCTGGACAAAAGTCCTGGCAGGGATGAGTTAGTGGTGATTGGCCCTGCTTGTAGCAGGGGATTGGACTTGATGACCCCAGAAGTCTCTTCCAACCCTAGGATTCTCTGAATGCTAGGGGTAGGATTTCCACCCATTTTTATTTGGAAGGGAGTTACACAAAAGGGATTCTTCCTTCTCCCTTTTCTTTCCATCCGGGCACAGACCCTTCTGGGCTTGTCATTTAGGAGAAGACGATGAAGGATTTGCTGTTGGTTGCAGCCAGAGAAACGGAACATGCTGATATTATTCTGTATCCGTTTTCCCCCTGCTAATCGTCACTAGATTAATTTATTCAATGTTGTTTCTGGATAGAAAATTAATTGGGCCGTGACAGCAGCTTTTCCTCTTAATTGCTTATGTAGAAAAGGCTTGTTGAGTATCTTCTCATATAAATCATCGCCCAGGCGTCTGAAATCAGCGCGCCGTGGCTGCTAATAAGAGATATTTGGAATGAATAGCTGTGGATTTCAGGGAGCATTTTTCCTCCTGTGAGATGTAGCATACCTGAGAGTACTCCATTATGCCTGGCCGTGCCTGCTATATGCTGGAATTAGACGTCAGATGTCTTCTGTCGATTCGTTCCATCGCCTGCGTGCAAGACCCCATCTCACTGACCTGTGTTTGTGTGGGGGAATCCTGATTTCTAGTGTCAAGAGGCACTAGCATCACGGGGAGGACTTCGCTATTTTCACTGCCTCGAATAACAAACACTTACAACTCACTTAAGCCCCTGCATTGAGCTAATCCAAAGTAATGAGCAAACCCCTGGGGTTTAATTTGTATTGCCGTAGAACATCGGATCCCCAAGAGAGATCCGGACATTGTACAGACACACAAATATGGCCTACACCCAAAATTGCAGCAGTTCAGAGTTTGGGTTGTTTTTTTTTAACCACTTTAGCTAAATCAATGCAAAACTCTGTGCAGGCACTTGAATCTCAAAGCTGGCTGATATTGGTATCGCTTGCATGTAAGTTATTGATCTCAGTTCGATTGTAGTAAACTCTTTTTGCAGGGATACACTGGTCCTTTGCAGAATTGTTTTTAAACCACTGCAGTTTCATAGAATCTGTGGGCTGGAAGAGATCTGAGAGGGTCGTCAAGTCCAACCCTTTGCCCAAAGCAGGACCAACCCCAATTAAATCATCCCAGCCGGGGCTTTGTCAAGTCAGGACTTAAAAATCTCTAGAGATGGAGATTCCACCCCCTCCCTAGGGAACCCAACCAAGTGCCCCTCCACCCTCCTAGAGAAATAGTTTTTCCTAGACCACCACCACTGTAATATCCAACCTAGACCTCCACCACTGTAACTTGAGACCATTGCTCCTTGTTCTGCCATCTGCCACCACTGAGAACAGCCTCTCTCCATCCTCTTTGGAACCTCCCTTCAGGTAGTTGAAGGCTGCTCTCAAATCCCCGCTCACTCCTCTCTTCTGGGGTATGTCTACACTACCCCGCTAGTTCGAACTAGGAGGGTAATGTAGGCATACCGCACTTGCAAATGAAGCCCGGGATTTGAATTTCCCGGGCTTCATTTGCATAAGCGGGGAGCCGCCATTTTTAAATGCCGGCTTGTTCGAACCCCGTGCCGCGCGGCTACACGCGGCACGGGCTAG